GTGTTGACATCAGATGCAGACAACAGGCCCACGGCAACTACAGTCATCGCGCGCCCAGCTGTTCAGAGTACACCAGCTGAGCGTGACGTCAGTCCTATGACGCGCGAGCTTTTCCGGGACATAGTACGCGCTCGTCCCTCTCTCCCACCACTCCGCGGCGCTCTATGGTTCCACAAACAGCTGATCGCAACTCACCACCAGCTGTACACCGTACACCTGTACAACACCGTACGTCCACTACACCACAGAGACGTTATCCCATGAGAGCTAGGAAACCAGTCGAGAGAATAGATTTATAATTAGTTTGTTTTGTTGTCATATAACGGTTGTTGTGTTTGTGTGTTGTTAGGTTGTTTTATTTATGTATTTGTTTGTCAGCGTTTATATTCTATCTGTTTACTGATACTGAAATTGAAAAATAATTATTGGTCACATTTTATGGTCAGATTTAAAGGGGAGGAATGTAATATATTTATATAAGTAATATAACAGTTTTTACTATTTAATAATTTACAAGGCTATGTTGGCAATATTTAAATATGTACGTTGAACTGTAACCGTTTGTATTTCCCACTACCAGTTAATAATATTTGAATAAACGAATGCTATTGGACGATCGGGTCACGCCACTTCCCCAACCCATGAGTCCATGTTAACCGACACCTCTACACCTCAGTTATAGCCAGCTTCCATCCTGAGTAACTCCGGCCCGTTCGGTCGTTAGCAGTTTACAGTGTTAAACCGTAGTGCTTATTATCTTCCCAATTCCCGTAGTGTAAGACGTCAGGGTGACGTAGTGACTTAGTTACAGTGTATAAGGATAGCACCGTGTCAACGAAGGTACGTCAGGGTGACGACACTTCAATTTTTCAAAAGCTGATCTTGTTTTTTAGTGTTTTCTACAAATAGCCTTACTTATAGCCACATTAGGTTGTCCATAATAACGATTATAAATTCTAAAAAAAAACATTATTTCTATTTCTTCTCCTTGTTCTATGACTTTCCCATGTTTCCATAGTTTACAAATCGGCCCTTTCAATGATTAATAAGAAATGCAGCGCAGTGTTAATTCAGTTTTCTTTTTTAGTATATCAAATTATCCAGGCTATCTCGCTTTTTCCCCTTGTAATGTTTATGCCAACCCAAATTCAAATCGTAAATATTTCATTTTAACCAAGTCAGTAAATGTTTGTAGCAAACTGTTAAATTAGCAAACTTATTTACTGTTTACAATTAACATATGTTCTTCTTCTCACTTTTAATTTCTGACAACAGCTGGAGTTTCATAACAATGTTTGTTTCCCATGTTAATCTTTTGGAGGAATACAAAACTTTAAAGGGCCCCAGGGCCTCACTCTCTAATTATTTCCCTAAAAAGAAAGTGTCCTGCACAACTTCACGTTACGCTCTTTCCAATGACACCAAAAACATGTCAATCGGCTCAGTAGTTTCGGAGGAGTAATTGTCACAAAAAACCTGCGATTTATAAATAAATTACTACAATTTAGAAAAGATCAATTTTGAAGAACCAATGTTTTCTGAAACCCACAGTCAAAATTGAAAATATTCTGCTTGTTTTAACACTTTTTGTTTCTTGTTTCAGTTTGGACAACTGGGACTGCTGTGATCATTCCTTAAAACCGTTTTTCACCCGAGACATAATTAATTTTTACCAAGTTGTTTGTGTACCATTCATTGTAATTTACTGTTAACCAGTGCAATATTGATTTTACTTACCTTTATGCATGTGTCAATGTTATATTGTATTACTATTAATATTATTTATTTCCAATGTTACAATTTATATACATGTACATTTATATATAATATATATATACATATTATACTATTGAAAATAATATGTAAACATAATTTGTAAATCTAATATATTCCAAAGGTATTTTATTGATAAAGTGTATTAACTTTAGTCCAGAGTATTTATTATATATAAATATATATACCTTTCCAACTTTCCTTTGACTACGGATAAAACTAGACATTCTATTGTAATGTTTACAATTAAATAACTTCTTGATCAGCATTGTACGTGTTATTAAATTTACGGAAAGTAAATAAAAGAAACGTCTTATAACACTTAAAACTTATATTTACGCTTATACTGTTATTCACAAGACGGTAAATATACAAAAAAGATGGTAAGTAGTGATCAATTTCTGTTGGACACTCCAATCATCATCAGACCCAATAGGCAAATTGTTTACAATTATTGTAGCTATTTTTTGGATTAAAATTAATCTAGTGAGTAGTTTACCAGAGTGCACAGATGTAGGCCTAAATTACTTTTAATTTGGCAACTGTTTAACCAAATCAAACTAAAGATCTCAGCATCTTTTATGTCACATATATATATTCTATCAAAGTAGGCTAACAAAAATTAGGGGGAAATAAATGTTGTTCTGTAGCACTCTGCCAATGGCTCATTCAACAATGGATGTTATGTTCTTCATTTTAGTGAATTTCCCTATAGGGAAGTAGCTATTACCGTAGGTGGCATGGTAAGACTTAGGCCCGGGACCAAAAATACCATTTGTTCAAATTTTTATATATGTGTGTGTGTATATATATATATATACGTCCGTGAACGCGATAACTTGAGTAATTTTTGTCCGATTTTGATAAAATTTGGTTTAAATGTGTAAGGCTTGAATGAGCCTTGAACTTAAATGAACTTGAAAAGTTAAAAGAATTTATTTATTTCATTTGGAATTATTTCACCGACCTTATTCTAAAAATAACAGGTAAATAACAACTATGTTGAACTATATAACAGTTTAATCATAAAAATGACCAGAACAAGACATATTCCCTCTCTTATTTACATAATATGCAATAAAATTTATACAAACATAAAGCCGTCTCGTAAATGTCGACTTGTGTAACAGATATTGTCATATAAAATTACTTATTAATATGAGATAAAATTCAATCTTAAGCCCATACATGTCTACTCTATAGATATGGAATGCTTTGGTTTGGGGATAAAGGGGTTATTTTGCTATTTTATATATTACTAAAACGATTAAAAATTAAACTTAACTCTTTTCATACTGTACATAAAATAAGATTCAACAAAAAAACCTTCTAACAATAACCTTTAGCCCTGTTTTTACTTTCTGGAATTATGAGGTTACTTGTAAAAAGTTGGTAAATCAAAATCTAACGAAGATTCAAATCTCAAAAACACACATGTTTCTACCCTTGTCTGTGAATCCTTTTTAACAATTCAACACTCAACCTTCACAGATTTTCAAGCATTTAACTTCCATAAAAACATAACACAAGACCTGTCAAAATATATTTTGTGAGAAATTATTTTTTCCAAAGGATTCAACTTGAGCTAAAAAATCATAATTAAAATATAAGAAGAATGCAAAAGCACCTGTACATTTATTTGTAACCTCTGTACGCTATGTGCTAATAAACATAATTTGATTTGTAAATATCAAACAGTGCTACACAATCAGATAGTTACTTCTTTGTTTAAATCGATGTGAATAACAAAACAATGCAATTGTGTGTTGTGTAATAAGCAGGTACCTGTGCAAAAAGAAAAAGTCTACTTTACAACTGGGCTTGTTCTTCAGTTCATGTCCCGAAATATGGGTGCCAGAATATAAAATATATGTGGGACATGCCTTAGGCACAATGCAATATGTTTTAATCTAATTATAAATGAAAACAAACTTAATGTCATAATATAACTAACAAATCTTATGTACTATACACCGTTTACAAAATTGAGGTGGCTTGAGGGGAAGTTCCCCCACTACTTTTTTGCTTAATATGTTGCAGCTGATTTACGTTGGTAATTAAACCTCAGCTGTTCAGCTGTTATTTTAAAGGTAAAATCAAGTGGAGGGGATAGATTTCTTCCTCTAAGAACGCCTACATTTTGTGAACAGAGTATATCTCAAATAATTATAATTTTATTCCTCAGATAATGTTAACAATTTCATTTTTTATAAATTTAGTTCTCCTTTGCAATTAACACTAACTATAAACATCGTAGTTAGCTATCAGGCGTTATATTCTGTATGTAAAATACTCTTAAACTTTGCTATATAAAATACTTTTCTTATCCTTACCCTATAAGGCTGCACATGTGATCAACTTTACATTTTTTACAAGTGGACTTGACACTATTTACACTACCTGAACAGTACAAAAATAAACTATGAGACAACCACAAAAACAAAAATAAAAATTGGTCTCAATAAAACTGACTTAAAACTATTCTGTTTCCATCATATCAATTGTTATTAGTTATTATACATTTGGAATGTTAAGTTTTGATTGAATCGTTACAAACTATCATCCAGATCATTTTAAGAATTTAGATCTTATAAAATATAATTAACCTTTTGATTTTCCAGTGAATAAAATAAATTTGTCTTTTAAAGAACCCAATTCTAAAAATACAAATATTGAATGCAATTAAAGTACAGATTACATATTTAGGTTTTTTCATCAATTAACAAATTATATACAGGGTGGAACGAAGTTATTGTTAAAAAAAGTTGTATTAAAAACTACTTAGTATTGGTGACAAAATGGCACTAATTTAGTTTTCCATACCCTCACAGGTAGGGAATAACAGACATATTAAGATTTTTTTCAAAATATTTGTATTTTCTTACATAAAATGGCCATAAGTGCACTAAACATTTTTATTATTTAAAACTAACTGTGTGCCCGTTCTACACACATGGATCTTATAGTAGTCAGTTGAAACCTTCTTATATAAAGAACAGTAGTTGATTTGCATATTTTCAGATATGCTGGCAAAACTATTATATATAAACCTTCACAAATACAGTATCTGACGGTAAATAAAAACACTAGTTTATTATTGTATTACAAAACATAACGTAAAGAGTGGAGAGAAAATCTTAAATTTAAGAATGAAAAAGCAAAGAAACAGTAGGTTTTTATACATAATTTTAAAGGTTATTAACTGAAGAAGTTTTAAGTTTTAATATTTGACACTCTCTATAGTCCAGTTTAACATAGAAAAACGTATTTAAAAGTTTTAGCATTTTTCTCAAAAATCACAAATTCAAAATTCTGTTGCAGAATAAAGGCTTATATGTTTCATTTCAATGATTCTGTACTAACTATTCAAAATTTAATGAGGATTCTGAAAATGACAATAAAGTCTAAAAAAACAATCTTTAATGCACTCATGGCCATTTAATGTAAGCAAATACAAATATTTTGAAAAAAATATCAATATGTCTGCTATTCCCTACCTGGGAGGGTTTGTAAATCTTAATTAGTGCCATTTTCTCACCAATACTGAGCAGTTTAACATAAAAATGTTAAACACTAACTTCATTACACTCTGTATTTATATTTTTCAACTGATATAATTTAACATAGGTCATATATTCATTTGAACTTGTTCTTGCCTTGCATAATGCATAAATTAGTTGTGAACTTATACTTGTACTTGTAAAATCTTAGAAATGTAGTTATAACAGAAACATATTTTCAAAACTGAAACCAATAATAGCCAAACTTTGAATATATTAAAAACTAGAGTAAAATGCATAAACAATAATTTTTATCTATCAACTAACATGCATTGCAAGGTAACGTGAAAGTTATAATAACAAGCCTAAGTTGAATGTGTAATAAGGTTAAAACAAGTATGTGCATTGAACTAAACTACCGTCCTCAAGTGGAAAATTTGAGGCAGTAAATGTGAAATGATATTTATTTACATGCAATACTTATACTAGGTTTTAAAATATACTAATGAAGTATACATCATGAGCATAATAATAGTATATTTTTTTCTAAAAAGCTAGACTTTGATTATGGTAGTTTGATAATTTTAAACACTCTTAGCAGATTCGTTAATAAACTTATCCAACAGTTTTAACATTGTGGTATTTAATATCCAAATCCTACTTTCCATGTAAATAAAAATCTTGTCATTATAAACCATCTATCAATAATAGTTTTATATGTTCATATTGGATTACAGTATTAAAACAGTAATTTGTAAAAGTGGGTCAATAACTGATTATTTGTAGTGATGTGTCAAAACAGAATCCCAAATCTTAAAACCCCTAAAACTTTGGAAAAAATTTGGTTTCTAGACTTGACAAGTCACATCTTATTGTCATTGCATTGTTAGATTTTCTATAAAATCTCTAAGCTTCAAGAAGAAGTTTTTTTCCATGGTCGAAGGTCTAACTTTTTACAAAATTAGAACAGAGAAATCATGTGAGGATCTGGCAACTCCACGCACTAGCTAGTAGCAATGGAGCAAACAGATCACCACTAACAATGATGGAAAAAGTAAATTAGGCCTATTTTTTGGACTGCATAACTTTTCTTATTACCTGTATTTTTAAACCTTGAACAGGCTGGTAAAAAAGTTTTGCATGAATGTTTTGAGATTCGGGATTAAATTTTTTTTTAATTTCGGTTTTGAGATTCAAAATGTCTGATTTCAACCATCACTAATTGTTTGTACTGAACCTAGTGTACAAAAATAGCTCAAGCTTAAAATGTAAAGATGTTATTTTTTACAGTATATAGCGTAACAGAAACAAATTCGTAAGTTCTATTTAGTGAGTACAGTTAATTTTATGTTTCATTGATCATTAACAACAAATCCTATTGAATTGACTTTTTGGAGGATAAAACTTACATATTTTTGATACTCTACTTAATGTTTTTTATATTTTATGTTATGTCTTTTGATCAGTTGATTGAAAATAGTTTATAAGAATTTAACTCGAGCAAGTTTGTGGTATGGAGTGGCTAACGGAAGATGTTGTTGAACTCAGAGAGTAAAAAGTCAATGACAAAGTTTTGCTGCATCAAGTCGAAAGCCATGTTCTTGGACTCTTGTTCGGGCCACATCAGCGTTGGACCAAACACAATCGCTATGTTGGGAATGTGCATTCGATTGAACTCTTGATACTTGGTTACTCTGTAACATATGCAACACTTTCAGGTAAAGTGAAGTAGCAGTTATCTGTGGAACTAACTAATGTGCACAAAGAACTTTGCTGCACTGAAGAAAAATAAGTTTACTTGTACACAAAGGGAAACAAAGTGCAGCAGGGACATTGTCGAGGTATTGTATGCTTTTATGTTTGATTTGCTTTGTTAAACCTTAGGTCATCTAAGTGATAAACTTTACAAGAAACAAATTAGGGGGGGATCATTGGAGTACGCAAGTACGATAGTTAGACACGAAGTATTAAGTCCAGCTTTGGTACAATATTTTTAAAAGAGTAAGTAATATATAAAACACAAAATAAACACAAATATATTACCTTAATAAATGTTGAAGTAAATACTTGAGTGTATCATGGTTGCAGGTAGGCAATGATTTCACAATTTCTCTGAACTCCTTGATCTTCTCGTTGTAGTTGGAATTTGCTGAAACAGATTGACAAGTTTTTTCATTCAAAACCACCTAAAAATTTTAAGAAGTCATCAACTATACATTACCTATTAAACTGTACATAGCTTTTATGTTCAATGGTAAACTTATAAAGCTTAGTTTGCATAGAACAATTAATACAACAACCTCTCAATTAGACAATTCAAAACTGGAGCCTTTTTACAACTTTTAAGATCTGATGTTTATTAGTTAATAGAAAAATGCATGGATTTGCCTCAAAACCACACTTAAATGTGCAAACTTTATAACTGCTGTTCTTTAAAATACGTTCAGTGCTAATAATTATGAGTATTGCGACCCTATAATGTAAAAAAAATTATAATGTGATAACTAACTTAAAAATTATGTATGGTATAAAAAAATATGAATCTATATGTCTCAGAGTCGTCACATCTGGCTGAAATTGAATGTCACTTCCGGGGCGGGAATTGCCGACCTCAGGTACTGATGGGACTAATAGTCTGTATGTGCGGCTCAGACCCCCCACCTACTGGATATTACCAGTCAGTAATATCCACTATCTCTCTCCTCCCGTGCCATAGCCAGGCGCATCCACAGACTAATGGTGAGAACAGTACTGATGCCGGTCCTTGTCCAGCCCCAAACTATTTTTCAGCCCCACTTGCTCACAGTCACACAGGAAATCGTTTTTTATATTCAAAAGTTCTTATAACATCAATATTTGTATAAAAAAATAGATTTACAACCCCCCGCCGCCATTATAAGTCTTTTCGTGTTCAGAAATTTCAATCACGAAATGTTTTCAAACCTTTTTTTTTAGGGATGGACAGGACTGAATTTTTAGTTCGAGACGGGACAGGACGGGATTTTTTCCTGTTCATACAAAGCAAGTCTTGAGTATTGCAGTTACCAAAAAAGACAAATAAAATCAATTTTTACCATTTGTGGTACTGATCTGTAAAAACAAAAAAATTGGGTAAAAATTTACAGGTATAGAAACTTGTGACTCGCGCTCATGGCGCGATCGTCGGTATGACTCCGCGGTCTCAGCGCGTTTGTCAGTAACTCCGTGGTCACGTAATGATCGTCAGAATGACTCCACGGTCACGGGGCGATAGTCGGAATCAATTCCCATTGATTTAATTACTCTACAAATCAACCAGATACATACTACTTGCTCTCAGTGCTTTGTCAAAAAACTTGAATGGTATGAGAGGTTGTTTGAGTTCTCTGAAGAATAGTTTGAGAGTTCCTGACAGAACATGTACATCTTCTTCTTGGTCGAGCAGGGAGTAAATGTTCTGGTCAACCTGCAACATTACAAATGAGTTATCAAATGCAGAGTAATATTGACAAGTCTTACATTGTATCCAAAGAAATTAAAAGAAAACTCTGTAAGTGTGTTTTTTCTGAACAACACAAAAGCTACTGAACATACAACTATGAATTTTGCAAAAGGCAGACCATAAACTTGAACCGTGCCGGATACACCTCAAGGCTGACTCGGCAGCGGCCTAGGGATGAGAAACGCAGTGTTTTCTCCAAAAACCATTTTTTAGAACAAATATTTAACAATTGCTACAATTTTGGGTGATGATAATAATGTACCCTATGATTGTGCCATGTTAATGATTTTGCCTCGATCGAGGGAAGTTCTGCCTTGGGAGCGGGGGTCGCTCAGGTGAATTTGGCCTGGGATTGTAAGTATCCTCAATTTTGCACTAAACTAAAACAACACGTGAGCTTAATTATTCCTACCCTTAGAATTCCATCAGGCTACACCCGCTGGAAACTAGTTTTATTACCTAGCATCCTTGATAAAATTAAAGTTCATGGAATAATAATAGATACCCAATAAAAATCACTATACTTAATACTCTGCATATCCTCTGCTGAATAAGTTAATATATCAAGACGAAATATCAGTGTTAGGCCCCTTTTATTCACCGCGGTTGCCCGCCAGCGGGCACCCACCGTGGTTTACTAAATGCATTGCCGTAAATTGGGTGCTTTAATTCAAAAAGGAGCGGTCTCAGAAGTTGCGGCTAGCCGCGGAGGTTTGTAAATTCTCACCCGCTTGCACTTAGAAACCGCCGGCGGGTAGCGGTTCATATATGCATTGTGTTATATGGGATCGTTTAATCAACGCGGGAGCCCGCTGTCGCTCTTGCATTGCTACCAACCCAAGTCACCAGTGTCACTCACTACACATGGTCTAGTCATTTGGTAGTGTACATAGCTGAACTTCTCACCCTTAAAAATTACTTCATGTCATGTTACGGACATATATACTGAAAGATTTTGTCTGAAATTATCTACAGTAAATAAAATTTAAATTGAACACCACTCTGGCACTATTTGAAACTTTTACAAAGGATTTATTTTGCTAGAGTGTGTTTTTAACTAGATTTCAGACTTAAATAGCAGCCGTTGAAGTGAATCGATGACAGTTCTCAGTTGTAAACCAACTCTATTTGTGTTAGACTGGTTAGATTGAAGGAGTATACATTATAAAAAAACAAAGGTTTTAAAAAACAAGGTTTGGCAGCACTGTTACACTATCCACGTGACAGCGGTCGATCGCAGGTGACACATTGGTGCAGAGGACGTCCGCGGCGGGTGCCCGCTGGCGGGAAACCGCGGTGAATAAAAGGAGCCTTATGTTTTGTGACATTTTGTGGTGTATCTATTATCTTTTAAACTTTGATTGTCTCAGGTAAGGCCAGGGACACACTTACCGCCCTTACCGGCAAAATCTATTGAATGTCTACTATTTTGCCAGAGCCGGCGACAATAAATAGAGTGCAATTAACTCTGAATCAGTCGTGTCTTTAAAATGGTACTGTCAACACATAAGAAATTGACTTTGCTGTATTTGCTCTACCGCAGGAGAAAGTGGAAACACCGCCGGAGTATTTGGGTTCATCTCATTATAGAACAATTGCAGTTTCATAGGGCATTTTATACTTATTTATTCAGCCCAGGAATGACCAAAATAAGTTTTTTAATTATTTCCGTATGTCCATGACTACATTCGACGAGCTTTTCTTTGAGATAAGAGTTAAAAATAAAATACAGGGACATGACACTAATATGAGAAACTGTATTTATCTACAAGAAATGCTATCAGTAACATTAAAGTGATAAAACTTCATAGTTTACACCCATCAATTACCTCAATCATCATTTGACATCAATTACCTCAATCATCATTTGACATCAATTATTTGTTGAGAAGTAGCAGGGGCAGTTCAGGCTGTTTCGCCGGGAACGTGTGTTGATCTCCATTTTTAGTACAATGCCCTGCTACCTGATGGGCCAGCGAAACAGCCGGTCCTACGAAGTAGAGAATATCCAGCGGTTATGTCGGAGCCTTTTCCCACCGGACTGGCTGTTTCGCCAGACCGGGGCAGTGTATCCTTCTCCATCCCTTCCTGTGTATCTCAACTTTCTCCAGCTCCACCGAACCCGGCGTCCGGCAATTTCGCCGGTAAGTGTGTCCTTGGCCAAAAAATGTTTGATTTTGACTGACCTGATATCTGATCTTCTGTACTTGTGAGATGTTCCCTGACACCCGGTATAGTCCGTCAGTCTTCATGTTCTCTAGGTTGCGCTCCACACAGCGGACACAGTGCTGTACAAACATTGGCACTCTGGGCGGCTCAGCAGGACACACTTGCTCCAACAAACAGCCAAACACCGGCTCATCTACAACCAGACAGTACAATAAACTAATAACTCAATCTTTATCTTAGCTCTTCAATCCCATTTGGAGTTTGAATTTGTTTGTAAATTTCCATAAAAAGATTACAAAACTAAATTTAATTGGATCATTTGAGCTACCGTACCAGTATTCAGCGCAACAAGCGATAAGACTTTTAACTCAAGCAAAAAGTTCTTATATGCTAATAAAAGTCAATGGCATACAACTTCTTCATAGACTAGCAAGGGTTATACAACAGGTAATCTTGATCTTTTTCTGCTGATGGAATTTCGGGACAGGTTTTAAGGAACATTTAGAGTAGTGATGGGCGGATCCAAGAAAATGTCGGTACCGGATCCGGATCTTGAAAAAATCGGATCTGGATCCATATAGTTTTTATTCTTTTTTTCCAAGGGCACGTTTTTTTAATAACTCATATGGCTAGGCAATTTCACAGTATTTATTGATGTCAAAAATGCATATGGCTAGGTAATGTGACAGTATGTCGACGTCAATAACTCATGGGTAGGCAATGTCAAATACTACCTGTGTCCATATACAAGACTGACTGTGTCCATATACAAGTCTGTCTGTGTCCGTATAGAATTTTGTGGATTTTGATTTTTTGTGGATCCGATCGGTCGTCTGTTCTAGCTCAGATCCGGCGGATACAGTAGTCCGATATCTGGATCCGACCATGACTAGTTTGGAGTTTCTTGAAAATTATTTACCACTCATTGGGAACAGTAAAAAGTTTACACCTAGGGTTATCGAGATAGCGACTATTTATGGTAAACGAGTAATCTATATATTTAATTGGAAACTGTTTTTCTTTGTCTCCACTAGTTTGAGAGAACGACTGGGCTTAGAAACTTGGTAGAGGTATCCAAAAAAAGCTCTTGGCCTGTAGATGAGCAATCAAAAGAGAAACGAGGTAAATTCCCTTGGGGCTCTGCCCCAGTGGCCTTTTAAGTTCCCTAACCAGATTTGTTTACAGATGGACATAATAACATGATTTAGATACAGATGGATTTTTGTGACCAGATGGATATAATGATCTTACACTACTTTAGATTTTTTAATCTGTACGTTATCTGCTGTTAATATTTAAATTGTATTTCAAAGGTTATGCGTTATAAGCATTTACTGAACCTTCCAAAATGAAAAGTTGACATTATTTTGTAATTTTAAAACTGTCCACTACATGGTAAGTTTTTAATAGTTTGAACAAAACCATGAATTTATGATAAGATTTTAATTTTTTTTTACTGTTTATGTTTACAACAGTAAATTCTTTCTTTTCTTTATTTTCAGTATATATATATATAAATACCTGTATTAAGGACGCAGATGTATTTGTGTACCTATGTAGAAATTTATGCTGCAAGAATTTGGAATTCCTTGTCTATTCATCCAGGCAGAATGTACTATTTTCAACAACTATCTGCTAAAGACTAGGAAAAAAGGATGGAAACTGACCACCAAAAGAATATTTTAAACTGAAAAAATGTGTGTTTGTAACTCAGGTTTCATAGCCCACTGGTTTACCTGTTTATAAACTAAAACTTTGAAGAAAGGCTTAAGGCCAATCCTGCGTTGATGTATGTACAAATCAACCAATAGGTGGAGATTGAGGCTAATTAAACTTACTTCACTGCTAGGAAGGAAAAATTAACTTCTAAATGCAATGCTATTATAATGTATGTCATGAATGTTGTGAGTGCTAAAGCATTAGCATTGGCATGCTGCTTGTAGCTGTGCAAGGGATGCAATATAATTAGGCTTTAACAGTTTTATGCGAGGTCCATTACATAGTTTATCACTGGATTATTAGAAATAGGCTATGACAGTACTGTAGTGAAGAAATACATCAAACCAATAAAAATGGGGAAAACTATATAACATATTAACTGTAAATATACTTTTTTAGACATATCACTCACCTTTCCAAATACCCTTTTTCACTAGAACATCCACAGATGGCCTTCTGTGGAAGAATTTTTTTAAACGTTCTCGTATTTTAGTTTGCTTTTCCGCAACATTGGACAAATCTTCTATGCTTGCACTTTTGTTTTTCACTGGAAGTATTCTTTAAGTTAACATTTTGTAAAACATACATATCTATGATGTTACGAGTCAATGATGTAATATAGAATACGGTGAAGTTTTAAAGAATTTTGATGGGATAGCTGGCTTACCAGAGTAGTAGAGAGACTATCCTGGCAAAATAAAAACAAAAACTTTCACTGTAACTGGCAGCATTTTCAACCATGGATGGTTTAAGTTAGTAATAAAGTAGGGATAGACAAGACTATGGATTTTAAGTTCGAGATGAGATTCTTTTTTCTCATCATGATTCGAGACAAGATAATAGATCTCACAACTATCAGGAATACAGGAGCGTGTTTTTGTTTCGTTTACTTTGTGAAGGCGTTCTTAATAAATAATCTTATCTCCAAAAAGTCTTGGAACAAAGCAGCAAAGTCAATCTCACTGGATCTGAGATATTTCAAACTTGCAGATTTCTTGAAAATTTGAGACTTGTCTATCCCTAGAATAAAGAAATGATGGATGCTTTCCATCAAGGTAAGCCTGCTATCCCAACATGAAAATTCTTAATGTCTATCTAATTAGTTGTAGATGTTGCAGTTAAGATCAGGAAAATGGAAAAATAATTGAATGGTGAGAGTGCTTTGGCACATAGTGATCATGCAGTTTCATAACAGAAAAAAACTGTACCTATGTAGGGTGGTTTGTTAAATTTATTACATTTCAAAGCCACTGTCTCAGATCTACTCTAAGGTAGCTAAAGTTGTCTACCCTGGTAAAAAGTTAGTCACTTCAGAGGATTCATTTTGACTTGTTTACAAACTTACTCCAAAAGATTTGGGTTAACAAAATTGTACCAGAAGACCTAAAAATCTCTAAAGTTGAGTTGTTAATAAGCTTTCCATATTTTATCAATTGACAAACATTCTGCTAGACATTTAACACATTGAGTGCAGGGCGGTCACTGAGGACCGTCCGCCGAACGCACGCCCAGGCTGGCCTAGTCACCTGTGCCCGGCCAGGTCCCACTGAAATGAATCAGTCAGTGTGGCGCAACCTTGTGGAAAGTACTTGAGTTATTGTATGTGCGTTGTTAGCGTTACATAACTAATACTGTGTGTGTTTCGCCCGCCGTTCCCGTGGACCGGTGCCGGTCTCCTGAGACTGGTAAAGTCCCACTTACACAATTTATTGACTTTGGACATTTATTGACGTATTTTGTTTGTGTTTTTGCTTTTCATATGACACAACAATATCCTACTAATATTATAAATATGAAAGTTTGTTTGTTGGTATGTTTTTTGTTACTTTGAAGTTCAATCACGGATTAACTACTGGACGGATTGGGCTGAAGTTTGGCATGATGATAGCTCACATTCCTGATTAACATAGGCATATTGTTATCTCAAAGATCATTTCGGGCTCCACCCCAGTGGCTCTGTAGTTCCCAATGTTAACCTTATGAGTATTCATATTTAAAGGGAATTAAAAAGTTTAGTCAGCTGTTTCAACTAAAATAGTTGGTTCTATGATATGCAAAAGCATTAAAGGTTATAAGATTTACCAACAGGGTGCAGTACTATTATTTTTTTCATTTATGAAAACAGCTAATTTGAACCATAGACAAAAAGAATTAAATATAGACTGTCAGCCGTGCTACAGTTACCATAGGTTCTGCTGCGCGTACGTCGTAACTACATGGCGCTACCAGCGGTGTGCGCCAGAACCTATGGTAAACGCAGCACAGCTGACGGTCTATATTTAATTCTTTTTGTCTATGTTTGAACTAAGCAGCAACAAAAAACTGTGATACACAATGAGAACTGTCAAAGTAGGATTGTTTACAGTTATGTTTGTTTTTAATTTTATGAATAATTTGAGATATTTTGCAAATCTTTAATAATTTATTTTTCTCTATTGCTTAGGTGAAGTGGTAGAACATTAAGGCTATGGTAGTGTGTAATACTATAGTATACCATACATTTAAAGAAGCAAATTTTATAAAACTGTGTCCTCCTCCATTGCTAATGCAAAGCTTGAGTATAACTGCAATAAGCATTTTATACTTATATGCCAATCCCATACAATGGATGGGTACTCTGCTAGTATTTTATAGTTTATTATTTTAGTGCCTTTTACTTGCCGTTTACTTGTGCCTTTTAATAAAGATGGACCCCAATAGCAAATTGTTATCAGCAGTTCCATGATTCACTGTTATTGAAATAAACAATGGTTGGGAGGAAGGGGCTGTATATAATTGTAAATATTAGTTATATTGCTATTTAACATGTTCAGTATGAAAAACAGTGTTTTGAGACAAATATTAAAGTATTTTTGTCACAGTTCCCACAAGCGTCATTGCGTGGGCCAGGTAATCGGTGACCGGCGATTTTGGACGCCGTTTTTAATTTATAGGGAAAACGACTTTAAAACACTATTTCTGACTTGACCAAGTCAGAAATAGTGTTTTAAAGAAAAAAATAAGATTTTTTGTAAAAAAATGCAGGTTCTCAGGAAGGACCCACTGATATATTTACCGCACTCAATGTGTTAAAAAACATAGCTTGACACTTGGAAACCGCTAGTGTTGTGTAAAATATATCATATCTTATAAATATTTTTCATGAGCAGCACATCTGAATTATTAATTATTAAATTAAGCTAGTGCCAAAGCTAATGTTATTCAAGGAATGATCCTCAACATTTTGACGTTTATCAGTGCTAGAACATTCTCTTTTTTCATGTTTGAGAAGAGCTCAAGGAGAACTAAGTTTACTTACGTTTCATCGATTTTGAGCGACCAATCCGTGGGACTGGCTTATTCTCTTCTAATGGACTTTCAGGTTTCGTTCTGATTCCTTTATTTTCTATTCCCAATGGCTGGAACAACAAAGAAAAGTCACTTTGATGTATTGCTAATAGTAGTTATAAAATAATGTTAAGTTGTTGGTCTCCAGATACAGACCATGCAGACGGATGCAGATGTCTCCGTTTGCATCTATAAAAAATGTTTGGATATCACCTTAAAGTAACCCTAAGTTGTTGTGGTGGCAAATAGCTTTGGTTCTTAAGAGGAACAGTCTTAAGGCTGTCCAAGGAATAAAAAATAATCACTTAATTTGAAGATCTTTACATGTTTAAGAAAACAAACAGACATGGACACAACTAGACTAGACTAGACTTTAAGTTTCACCTACTTGCATTGCTCTTGTACTTACTTAACAATATTCAGATTTAGTTATTTTCTTTACCCAAACTTAAGTTTCTATACTAGATAATTACAGAAGTGGTCCTTTTCTCCTCAGTTTTTGTATGTGAACAGTGAAACGACCACTCTACATTATGTGAATGACTCAACCTGTCCAAAATTTTATTAGTTGTTTACACACACAATATTACTGACATTGTTATTGCAGTAGTTGTACTACACTGGGTTATTACCAAGTTGTTACTTCTGGCAGGTCGATTTTCAGCGGCATAGAATACCAAGCAAGACACCCTCATCTACCAGCTCTGGCATGAGATCTGGGAACAGGAGACAAGAGGAAGCTGGACTAGGCGACTAATCCAGCATGTCAAACCTTGGATTAAATATTAGCAATGCGGAGAGGTGGTGATCTCACCCAGTTTCTGACAGTGTCGCGGCAATTTTTGGTTGTATCTGTTCAGGATGAGCAAGGCTGTCTCACCTAATTTTACTTACTGCCTGGGTACCTCTGAGGATGCAGAACATCATGTTAACACGTTAGGAAAGGCCCCGCCTGAAGGCTCAACACCTTGTAGGACTACTGTCACTGGGGCAATTGGACCTGTTTATGACAGTGAGGGTATTCCCTGCGCAAATAAGATCAACCTTGACAGTAATGTGGTCTAGGTCATGAGAGACTGTAATGTAAGAAGCGGCACGGGCCCTTAGGGCTTAGGTGACACATTGACCTGACCTGAAGAAAACTGTCAAACAATAAACAATCTCAGCTCTCAGCCAACCAAGTAGAGGGGATATTTAGTGAGTATTCTGACCAATTCAGTAGTCTCACACTACATGCTGGCCACTTGTGTGTGTAAAAAATGTCCCCCCCCCCATGAAAAAATAAAATTACCAAGTTGTTGATGACAGTCTGTATGGCTGCAAGCCACTGTTGTGCTGAGGTAGCACAGTCACACTGTATCAGCACCTGCAGACCCAGCACTGTACTCAGCATGTAGACATTCTTGCGACTTGACACTTTGTCTCCAGCGTCTATTTTGGCTCCGTTCAGATCCACACTCAGCTCCGGCCCTCCCTTGCCGTTCATCTACAACAAGTTAAGGCAACCTTTAAGCCATCCAATACATAACCTTATTTCAGTAAAAAACGGTTTTATAATGGTTCTTGAAATTTTAATTTGATCACTGAGATGATGTATTTTTCTCGCTCAATCTTTGAAGAGTCTTTCTGCAATCGTGATAGTACTGTGGGAAAAAAACCTGTGTTGGCTCAGCTAAAAAATCAATCCACTCGCAAATCTTCCGTATAAATTACCTGACCCAAGATTGGTCTAAGATTATTTCCAGCCTGAACCAATCTTTTTGACCCCCAATAACCCAGGTACATAATATTTCCATAATATTCAGAAGTTATCTGTCCCCCATATTTAAAATACAAATAAACTTTAAAAAGGAAACGTTGAAAAATATAAAACTTTTTTTGATTTACTTTATATGGCAGTATATGAAATAAATCTTAGGTATAAATGGTTAGGAAAGGATCTAACGTATGTTTTGGAGAGCAATACTATTCTATGGCTGTCTTATATTTTTAGAGAAACAGCCATCTATTAGAAAAGAAAAGCAAAATTATTTTGTTTTGCAATCAAACTGTTGAGCAACAGTACAACATAGTATACTGACAAACAAGTATAGCCAGCCACTGTTACCCACTGTTTCAAAGGTACACATCACCTTTTTTTAGGGCTTTAGGTTGAAAATCTGGAGTATGGCAAAGTAAAACGAATGGAAACGAATAGCTTAAGGGGGAATACAAACAAGTACAACACGGTAGGGGTAGCAGAAATCGGCTATTCTGTGGGTTCAGAGCAAAATTAGCTGCTTCTTAAGATAACTGTAAAACTTTGTATAGGTATTGAAACAGCAACGACTTGGACTAACCATGGAGGGGAATCCCTTGTTGTCTTTGAAGAACAGCAGCAACAGCTCAGTGAGAACAGCGTATGTGGAAGTCCAGTTTTTACGCACTCTCTTGCCGTTCTCTGTTATCTTAGTCTTGTTTAGAGCGCCTTCTTTGATAACAAACTGAAAAACATACAAAGAGTCAGAATGTAAATCATTATCAGGCCTATAACATATCTGTTTTACGTATCTGCATTGCATATCTGTTTTACACTACAAACATGATACGTAAAGCAAAATCTATAGTTTCACAAAAAAAACTATCAAAATCTGTAATTTTCCCCTTCTATCTTCTTCATCAAACAAAAGTTAAAACGTCTTTAAAACAAATATTTGGTGGACACACACACACAGTTAGCATGATTAAATAGTAGGAAAATGCCTGACTTGAGGTGCAAGACCAAGAGTCCACCCATATTGTCAACTTGCACCCGAGCTGTTCACCTTCTATTGAGGGTATTTACATGGGTATTTCTCTCCGACCCAGCTCTCCCATAAATAGGTCAACTGCTCATAAGTTGCACACAAGAAATTAGGGAGATGTCAACGTTGAGACAATACCTTAGTTTGCTAAGACATTAACGAGACTTAACTGTCTTCCACACAAACAGTACTGGTAAATCAATTACCTTTATAGATATATTTTGAAAAAAAAATGGCAAATTAATTTATTTTATTCTGAGCTTATAATGTTTCTCTAATAAAACTTTAACTTACCTGTAGCAACAAAGCTAAGCACTCGTCATACCTAATGTTTTTTAAATAGGGAATAAATCTGACAAGTTTAAGGAAATATGTTATTGAAAAGCCAATCAGACAAATGGAAATTTGCTTAGTTTGCAGGTTTGCTGCTGCGGGGATATTTTTGTATGGTTCATGGGGTTCAGTTATGGTACTGTAGATCGCCAATATATCGGCCTTTGTGACTCAAAAGGTTAAAACTGTTAAGAGGAATACCAACCATGGTTCCACCCAGAAGCTGAGGCCAATGCATTGAAAAGTTCGAAAGTGATGTGGACTCTTCATGTTGACTGTAACAAAATATAATTTCATCAAATCAGTTCTAAATAGATAAGTGAAATATATATTTACTCGAATAACCTTTTCTTTTGAAATATAATTCTATGATATACTAAGTTATATTCAGTAACAAATTTTAAAATTTTCAAATAATACTAAGCATCTGAAAGATTTATGACTGGACTTATAGTCCTTGCCAACTTTCCTTGAGGCAGCCCAAATTGACCTGCAAGGCCATTAGCGGCTGGTACCGCATGACCCTTTTACAATCCTATTAGCGAGTCTTCGTTGGATGCCCTAGTTCAACATTAACATTAACTAGCTGTTGCCCACAGGCTTCACCCCGTTTTAATTCATAAGTATTAATAAAATTATTGATTGGTTAAAACAAAACAGAATATAGAAATACAAACAAATAAATAAAGTACACCTGATTTTAATAAGGAAATAAATTGAAAGAATGACATACAAATATGGACAGCTGAGGTTTTTTAACATTATGTATAAGGAAAGTTCCCTTTGGAAAGCAATTACGACCTTAAGGGGCGATTTGAAATAATGGATAGTTTTGCGCAAGGTTTCTCGTCATGACGAACATTTTAAGTATATGGTTTATGGGGGTGTGACTTTTAGTTTTCTCAAAAGCTCACGGGTACTTTTGGCTTTATATATAGATAAAATTATAATCTGATATATTGATTTACTCGTTCATATTAATAGCATAAATCTAACAAACATTTCTGTTTTTGTACCATCTAAAACGGTCAGTTTTTATTGTTTTTGAGCTATTAACAAAATAAAAAGTAACAAACAGTAAACATTGTCCATTTCAGATGGGACAGAAACAAAAGTTAAATCGATGTCATTAACGTAAACGAGCACATTAACACATCAGATTTATTAATGTTAATATTGAACTAGGGTGTTCACGGAAGCATCGCTAATCGTATTGTAAAAGGGTTGTGCGAAACCAGTTGGTAATGACCCTGCAGGTCAGTTTGGGCTGCCTCAAGTTATAGTACAAATAGCAAACAAGTTCAATTTTAAAATGTCCCATTTTTTTTTAATGTAGTAAAGAATATTTTAACACATTAGCCTACATATTTTATTACGTTTTAACCAAAACTAAATTCTTTAAAACTATTTCAAACAAAAACAAGATGTCTGAATTTGTTTTATTCTTGAATCAAGGAATTTTTAAAAGATATTTATGATTTTACTGATGATTTTTCTTTCTTTACACAACAATCCTGGCAAGGCTTTCAATTCTCCTCATGTAAAGATTTGTAATTACATAAGGGGTACTCATTTGGCTAGTACTTCAAGTTTGGACGAGGATAAATTTGTATTAACAATCTGTTGAATTGGTTTTAACAGGATCCTTTGAATATAAAAAAACATTTCATTGTAATGCTTCTCAAATTTAAATTTTTTTCAAACATGATTTGTATTATAATGACATCTTGTACACTCAGTAAGAACCTTCCTCATTGTTTGAATTTTGTTAAAATAAATGACAAAACCAAATAGAAAAAATTAAATAATGTAAATTAATTATTACTTTAATCATATTCACTATCATAAAACAAGTGTCCAATAAGGTAGCCTAACCTAACCTTTGCTCCTCTCAAACTAATCCATACATTTCAAAACGTTTTTATTAGCTCGCTTTCTTGTTTGTTCAGTACAAATTTTGCAATCAATTTTAAACCATCTTCCCGAACAGCTAGAGGCTTGAAACTTGAAACATAGCTCACAAATGGATGACAATGCAATATTAAATCATTTTATATTTCCCTTGGGCTACGCCCCATGGGCTTCCAAATTTTTAATGTTTTCATTTTGAATGAATGTAAATATATCAATTGAAGTCAGCTGTAAATACTTTAATTTGACAGTTTGTTCAAAGAGCAGAGGTTAAATACAGGTTCTGCTCCCGAGAGATTCTAAGGTTTTATGATTATGAGAATAGTAGCAACAACATGTGATTACAGTTAAAAAGGATTGGTTATTATTGGTTATCCAATAATAAGCCATAAAAAATAGATTTAACATACTTACACATTAAAGACTAAAAAGTAAAAAATTATTTTTTACAAATAAATACAAATAAATTAAAATTATTTGTTAAAAAAGTAGTATTTTTTAAAGTTTTTTTTAAATTTAAATTATTTAAGTACAAACCACTTTACCTGGTTGCCAATACCATCGACTTTGCTTTTAAACTTCTGCTTTGATTTTTTTCAGCAATGTGAGCACTTGAGATGGTTTCATTTTCTTCTGCATCGGGTATTAGTTTCTAGAGAAATACACAAACAAATTAAACTTAAAAAGTTTAAAGAATAGAGAAATGTACAATGTCATTGAACTCATTACATTAGTACATGTAATAGCATAGTAAACAACTGAATAAATAAAGTTCGTTGATCCACATTAGACATCGCAGTCAACAAATTAAACTAGAGAATACAGAGGATGAGTCACGGACACATAGTTAAACTTGCCTCATAATTACTCAGATACTCCAAGGGCAATTTAGTTGACATTTCTATGACAAGAATTCTATAACTATTCACTATTTTCCTAGCCTTCAGTAAGTAACGTCAAGCTTAGAACGACTTCTGGTATCAAACATAGGTAGATTGGTAAGACCAAGCATTAGTACTAAATACATTTTCCTTATTCAAACATTCAAAATAAAAAGCTATTACCAGATATACAGGGTGATTCAAAAAGGACTTTACAACTTTGAAAATTCATATAAATCTTATTAAACAAGGTGCAGAGCTGGTTTTGGTGTTGTTTTAAAGGAAAATACTTCAAGTTTTTTTACTTTAAACTAAAGATGTTCTATGTGACTTCCGTTGGATTTGGGGACAATAATTATTTAGGTATGAAAAAATAGTGAAACCCGTAAAAAATTTGAGAAAAATTTACAAAATTTTGAAAGTAGGGCGTTTTTTGACGGTGAAGGAGTGCGATTTTCGAAAAACGCATATTTAGTGTCTTGTAGGAAATTTAATTCCGAACCTACGTTTTTTCCTCAAATCTTTTCTAGCTCTTACCGTTTTCGAGCTATAGCCGTTTGAAAAAAACCTGTTTTGTCGTTTTCAGAGGTCCGCCATTTTAGATTTTTGGGGGGGTTAAAATTTGAAAATGCGACTTTTTGGAATTTTATGGGTGGTATGGGACCAAGAACTACAAGTGTGCGAAATTTCAACTCCCTAGCACATCTAGAAGTGGGTGTATCTCACTTCTTCCACGTCAAAAAAGCCCTACTTTCAAAATTTTGTAAATTTCTCTCAAATTTTTTTACGGTTTTCACTATTTTTTCATACCTAAATAATTATTGTCCCCAAATCTAACGGAAGTCACATACAACATCTTTAGTTTAAGGTAAAAAAACTTGAAGTGTTTTCCCTTTAAAACAACACCAAAACCAGCTCTGTACCTTGTTTAATGACATTTATATGAATTTTCAAAGTTGTAAAGTCCTTTTTGAATCACCCTGTATTTTCTTGAATAAACAAAAAGTAAGGGATTACCATATGAGTAAGGTAAACACAATCTGGCCGAGTGGCGTATATTTTTTGCCATGTTACCCTAAACTAACATAATAATTTAAAAAATACTTTTAAAATCTGTTTATGATTCTACCGACTAAGGACTTAACAACCTAAACTCATAGCTTCTCAGAGAGGTTATGTTTTCAAATATAACCACTCACTACCATTAAAATACTAGGTATGCGGCCTCATGTCTGCCAATTGAGCGGAGTGAGCATCAATATAAACAAATAACCTTATTTACAAATACATTTTTTTTATAAAAAAAATATAGATTACAACATAAATACATGAGTTATTGATCAATAAACCTCATGATTTCAATCCATCGTTATAAGAAATTTTCTTAAATCTTGCCATATCTTTTTTCTTTACTTACCATTTGCTTATCTTATTTATACTTTTGACTCTCAATAGAAAATGGCTCAGTAAGCAAGCCCTTGATTGTTCTGTTTTGAAAGTAAACAATGCTGTTATGTGAAACTGTGAATTGAACTGAAACGGCTTCTTAAAAAAACGGTCATAGGTGAAGTAAATTACAGCACAGTTAAGTCACATAAATTTACTCAGTGACAGATATTTGACGGATTTGATTTGATTTAACAAAAACTAGGGGAAATATAATTTTACAAAGTAGCAAACTCTGTAGGTGTCTTGTAAAATATTGTCTTTTTAAATACAAAATATGCTTCAGCTGGTCCAAATAAAAATAAGATGTCTAGTCTATATTTCACTATCAAAAAGTCAATTAATAGTAATATGTACCAAAGTATCATATGAATTTTTATTTTCTTAAATTGTCACGTTCACTACCGACCATCAACTTATACTTTGATGCCAGACTTTTGAAGTCACTGCCCTAACCTGGGGCCAGATTTCCCTTTTGGACCAAGCTTTATGATATAAACATACCCACAGACCGATCTTTTCTATTAGTTTTTCTGACCAATTAGGGTCTAAAAATTTATTTACATTAAACTGCAATAAAAAATGCAAACAAGTATTTAAAAAAAGATTAGTTTTGTCATCAACTATAGTTAAAATCGGTCCATCACTTACTTTGTTGTATATATCGATGTTTTTATCCATTAGTAGCATGTCGATTTTTATCCATGATATAACACACAAAAAATGTTATAAACTTACACCAACTCAATTGAAGAGGACTAGGTCAACTAACGCATCGAAACCTAAAGAAATTTGTGTACAAAAAATGCTGGGAGTTGTACAGAAAGAAATCACCCACATATGGAAACCACAGCAACAGCATACTTAGGGGATAATCCATTAGACCTACCACTAACAACCAAGTAACAATAAAATAAACCATGCATTATAAAAAGCCATAAAGTTGTATGGATGTTGGCGTGAACAATAGTTGGCGCCGGTCTGTGGTGAAGGAATTTTTTTTAACATGTCGGTAGCGAATGCGTAAACCAAAAAGATTTCACAGGAAAAAAATACTAAATTTTTCTAAAAAATAAATGGTTTTTAGGCAGACAGAGTTTTAACCAACCTCTTTGCCAGTCAGGATGTGGTTTTCTGGTAGAGTCCATGACGATGTGTTACTGTTTTCCTCAAAGAAGTAAACCCTCCCTTCAGTGTCCGTCGATGAGAACCACTGGAAAAAAAAATGAAAATTGAAAAGAAACATCAACAATATATTACGTTGATTGCCCTTGGAAACCTCCAAGAGAGCCTAAAAACTACCATTAATTTGAGTCATCAAGTCAGACATCATTGTCACATAAACATTTGCATGGTATTACTATAAATACCCCCGTCGCAGCAAACCTGCATACTAAGCGAATTTCCATTTACCCGGCTTGATTTCTACTAAAATATTCCCTATAAATTTTCAGATTTATTTCCATTTTTAAATAACATTATTTTTAGTGAGTAGTTAGGTTTGCTGCTACGGGGAAGATGTTGAGGTGTGTTTTTTCAATTGAAATATTGATAGCTTAGTATGAAATAAACCAAATTGCCAAATTTGATTAACATATATCCATAAACAAGCAAACTAGAACCGTTTATTTATTCTCCATAAGAATAACATGGGAATTTTAAATTTACAATTTTTTTAATTTTCTCCGTAGTCAATGAACATTCAAAAACACTACAATATACTAAATTATTTGTTTTTTTAAGCTCTTCAAAATGGTCTAGAGAGAAATTTAGAAATTTAAAGTTTTTAGGGTCAAAAATGAGAAAAACCCATTTTTACCCCATAAAACCTCCCACAAACCCCTGATCCCATGGTCCAATTATGCTGGTTCGCGAACTCGTTCGAACAAATGTAGGTTTACACGTTTGTACCAAATTTCATCAAAATCGGATCAATTTTGCTCGAGTTATCGCGCTAACGGACACATATATAAATATATATATATAAATATATATATATATATGAATTTGAACGGATGGTGTTTTTGGCCTCTGGGGACCTCAAAACGAAAAAGTAAATCGGTCCCGGGTCTAGGTCTTACCATGAGACCTACGGTAATAGCTTATTCCCTATATGGGAAATTCGCTAAAACAGGAGGCGTTGTTGATCTTCCTATAAATCTAACATAGCAATACCTTCTAGGGGGAGCAAGCTGGTCAAGTGGTAGAAGCTTCGCAGCCCAAGGCCCCAGGTACTAATCCCGCCAATGACTAATGGATTTTATCCATGTGGTAATGCCATGACCCTCTAGGTCTAGCCTGAAGTAATGTGTAAAACAGTTCCTGGCTAGAACCTAGTGTTCTGGGATGTAAAGGTGGGACAAAAAAAACATTTAAAAAATGTGGTCATTAGATAGTAAAAAGACCAGGATTTGGACAGTTCAGTTACAAAAAACATTAGAACATGCTAAAGGTCCTAAGAAAAGATTTTGATTTAAATTAATATAAATTTACGAAGATACTTTATATGGTTAAGCTTGCTTGCATTCTAAAATTGCAAATGTAGAGTTTGCAAATAGTTTTGAAAATAAAAATTATTAAATACTCACTGATATTAAAATGCAGCCTAGTTTATTTTTTTATTGTTGTGTTGCGTGTTGGCACTATTTTACAAATAAAAAAAGCTTCCTCCTAAATATGTAGAAATAATTTGAGTTTATAAGTTCTAGAGGCAGCGTATAACACAATATTTTTGCCAAGTAATTTTTAAATAAAATGCAGACCATGTATGGGATATTGAATATTGTTTATATTACTTATATAGTATCTATCTATGATTAGATTTTTCATCAGTAAAACTTGCATAGTTTTATTGCACGTACCTGTAGATTTTATTTTAATTTCATGTAAATTTAACATTGAAATAGTATCAACAACTTTAGGATCCGAATTCTTAGTTTTCTATTCCTTATAAAGCTCCTTTACGCGAGCAAAACTTGTTTTGTGAGAATTATGATTAGTGTCTTTATCCGATGAGAGAAAAAATAATTAACTAAAGGCAAAATAAAATCAATAAATACCCAGCAAACCTGCAGACTAAGTGAATTTCAACTTGTTTGATTACATTTTTACTAAAATATTTCCATAAATAAGACATTGTGATAAGACATAGTTACTCCCAATTTAAATAGGTTTGGTGCTACGAAGGTAAAAAGTGTTTTTTGACTATACGTCAATAGCATATGATAAAATAAATAAATTTGCCAAATTTTATCAACATGTATCCATAAAAAAGTAAACTACAACAGTTTTCATTTTCTCCATAAGAATAACATGGGAATTTTAAATTACACTTTTTTTTATTTTCTCCGTAACCGTTAAGCATACAACAGCGCTTTAATACATTAGCTACCAACTATACTCATCTCTCAGTTACAGAGGAGTGTGACAGTCGGTAGGGAACGTGTTAATGTACTAAATTATTTCTTTTTTTAAGCTCTACAAAATGGTATGGAAAGAAATTGCAAATTTTTTGGTTTTCATAAAACCCTCCATAAATCCTTGTTCCCATGGTCCGATCATGCTGGTTCGCAAACTCATTTGAATAAATGTAAGTTCCCACATTTGTACTGAATTTCATCAAAATCGGGTCATTTTTGCTCGAGTTTTCGTGCTAACGGGCACATTTATATATATGAATTAGAAAGGATTGTGTTTTTGGCCTCTGGGGACCTCAAAACGAAAAATTAAATCGATCCCGGGTTCAGGTCTTACCATGAGACCTACGGTAATAGCTTATTCAAACTCAAGACTCAGGGCCGTCCCTAGGGTTGGCGGCGCCCGGAGCAAACGTGGTCGTGGCGCCCCCTCCCCCCCAACAGTAATAGTCGCATTCGCATATTATAATACTATGTTAATACAAATAGCCGCTGTGTGGCGCCACAGAAAACATACTACTATAACCCAGAATGCCAACTGCATGATAAAAAGCATTAAGTACTTTGAGAGAGCTTTGCCTGTCAATTCGTAGGCAACGCCGCCAGCGTTGCGCCCTCAGCCACGGCGCCCGGGGCAGCTTGCAAACACTATTGGGAAATTTTGGTCCATTTCAATTAGTGGCCTATTAGAATGGTTGTTTGATGGGTAAAATGGTTCATTTACTAATGAAAAATCTGCCAATAGTTTTGTCACAAATGTTAAATAGTTTTATAGTGTATACTGTACTTGTGCATGAATAAAGATATTGAAAGTTAAAAAATATGAGTAATAAATAAAGAAATCGCTACTAAAATATTTAAAATTGTATTAAAACAAATTCTTAATAAACCCAAAACTATTTCTATTTTTTTTTTTTTTTTGTACAATCAATCTAGATTGTCTATAACAGTTTATTTTTACAACATCAAGCATCCCCATGACAAGGCCATAGCCTGAGTAATGACAAATAAAGGGGATTTTCTCCTGATGAGTCAATGGTTCAAATTAACTGCAAAACATCTCACAAGACTTTCTCTTGCTTGGCTCTTTTACACATCATATAAAAATAGAGTTAAATTTAGTAAAGTTTTACCAAGTAATATTTTTTTTTTTATCTAGAAAAGTAAACTTAGTAACTAATTATTACTTATCAAAATCGGAATTAATGTAAAACTGATAGTGGTGTTACTGGAATAGATAGAAGTTTGGTAGTAGATAACTTGACAATACGCAAATACCAGAAAATTAATAACAGCTTGATAGATGTACAATTGTTTCTCCAAAGCATTACTAATTGATTGGCAATTTTCAAAAAAAAAAAAAAACATTTTAATTATAATTTTTTTGGAAAGTTACTTTTGCAATGAACTCTTTAAAAACAATAAATCAGCAAAATTTGGACCTTTGAGTTCTATAAATTAGTCAGCTATTTAACTAAGCTTATTTTTTAAATGTTTCCCCTGTTTTAAAATGCTGTAAAACATATATGGTATATCTGGGGACAAACACACTGTAAGAATATATGTCAAAAGTAATCAACTTCTAAATTATCACTGCAGTCAGTGTCTTAAAAAGTTCTTAAACGCTCGTGCTTGTGCTAGTTGAAGTTTATGTTGGTGTCTGAAAATGGCACCATACAGTACCAAAATAATTTACCTCCTAAGTAATATGTCATCAATTGAAGAATCAAGTGTTGTTAGAGGGAAGGTGTGTTTTATTTGAGTCCAACAAAGTAGCAAATGCCTAGTTTCCAGTACAACTTAGAAAAATTAAACCCAAGCTGTCTACTGTTGTGAGCCACAGCACAGCCAAGTGGACTTTTCATGTCAAATCCTCACCTGACCAAGAGACAACACCTCAGTGGTCAGTGGTCTACCACACTAACAATACTGATAAGTCCTAATCCCAGATATAGCTTACTGCTCTTTTTGTAAGTGAAGGTTTGATTATGTTACTCTCAAACCAAACCTCAGATAGGTTTGAGGCTCTAATGGTTAAATATGACTGCATCTTTTAATTTGAAGTTTAATTTCAATTATTAATTTATTTAAGGGATTATAGCAAACATTTTCAGTAAAAAAAAATGTATCATAACAATTTTGGATCCACACCCCCCTTCTTACCCTCTATCCCATTAACTCTAAGCTGTCGTGTTTTGCCATACCTGAGGTTCAGGTTCGTCCAAAGCACTCAACCACAAGTCTCTTCTCCACTCAGTAACATCACTCGACTCACTACTCGTTCTTCCTCTGTGGAACTTCTTGGCAAATGCCAAGATATCATAACTCTCCTCTTGTATCACAGGTAACCTCATTCTGCTGTTGAAGCTGCTGCTTTCGTCCAAATCAACACCATCTTCCACCAAACGGAAAGCTGGTTCTAAACATTCTTGGTGATTGTCGTACATTTCTTTACATTCACCATTGTGCAATCCTTTGTTTGATTCTGTTAAACATTCCAGTTGTTCATTTAATTCAACAAAATTGAGCTCTTGGTTTGATTCTGTTGAACTATGCTGCTCTTCGCTTGGCTTTTCTGACATTTCTGAAATTCCTTGATCAAAAATTTCTTTAGAAGTATGATCAACATTTTTCATTACTCGTACGTCTCCTCTAAAATATTTTCTGGAACAACCACGGTGTACGCTGGAAAATTTGTTCATAATTTTGGAACCAATATGACACATTCCTTCCGAATCTGAGCGTGAAATCAGGACATTTAGATGTTCATTCATATCAATTTTTGGACTCAAACACA